CGGATGCTCTATGGAAAGTGCCTCATTGTGTTTGGACTTTATTTATTGAATGCATTTGAATGAGCGATCATTCTAAGAGCAGAGAGTCATTCGATTTGATTTCACAATGGGGTGATGGGTGAGGCTGGAAACTACATTCTCAAATGCATTATCCAGAAAAGAGGAAACAAAACCACTTTTTAAAAGTGACTCATCTTTAATATCTCACAGCAGTTTTGAAATACTTCATTCATTCATTTTTATAGCAAACTCTTAATTGAGAATGTCATAAACTGCTTTTGCAGAGAGAGGCAATCACGACCTAGAAAATTAAGTGGAGTAATTTACAAATAGGCTTTTGTCTGGCTGGAGGTTTTAGCTTATTCATGATGTGCCTTCAGGTTATCTTAACAACACATGCGCCCTTTACCCCGCCCCATTGGCAGTAGGTGTTTTGGGTGACCAATGTACGCTGAACATGAAAAACAGTTTTTCATATGTTGCTTTTTCCTGGTCTACATTACTAAGTCTTTCTAATGTTTTTATTTGCAAAAACAAACACTGATCATGTTCATCATTCTTCAAGACCCTTCATCTTCTCACTTCATCTGTCTACTGTCTATCCAACTTCTATTGTACATGGGCCATACAAATACGCTGTTAATGAATGAACTTTCAGTTCACCTCCAGCCCTTCTCCATGAAACCAGCCTTGACCCAAGTCAAGAGTGAGGACACTCTTCTCTTGATTTCTTTACAACTTACTGTCTCCATAATTTAGCATTTTAGAAAATATATTCTTTTCTCTCAGCTTTTAAAAATGTCTTGTTTCTCCACCTCCCTACCCCAAGTTATGCGAAGGGTGCAGACCTCTAAGTCAGATGAACTTAGATGAAACCCCTAGCTCTGCCATTTTCTGCTTTTCACACCTGGGACACCCTGGGGATGACAATAATAATTAAATCATAGGGTTCTTGAAAGAAGTAAAAGAGACAGCTTATATGAAGCATACATCACATAATAAGAGTTCATTGAATTCTTATACAAAGATTAATTCATTGATTCTTCTGGAGACAAAGTTTTCTCTTTAAGATGAGGAGGATGAGAAAGAATTCTCTCTAAATATAACTATATGTAACTGTATATAAGTATATATATATATAGTAGTTATATATAACTAAAGACACATTTCCCCACTCCCCAACTTATGACCCCTTAAATTATTGAAGATCCTGTGAATTTTTACTCAGTTTCAGTTTTGCAGCTTCATAAAAGTTTCATTGCTTTCAATTTAATCCTTTTAACAAACATTAATTGAGCTCCGATTATGTGCTAGATATTGTGCTAGACACAATCAAGAAAGTGTCTATTAACTTCCGTAATTCCTATCTGCAGATTTTTGAAATACTTTTTAAGCCGCAGATTCATATGATACTCCTCTCTTCCTCCCCCTTGTACATATGCCATCTTAAAAAACTAAAGCTTGAGAAGGGGGAAGAAAGTATCTATGGAGAGAACCCAGTGAATTCACTTTCAACACTTTCAACAGGCAAAACACCTGGGATACTGTTTGTGTAAGATATAAGCCACATCCCACATTTCATCCTGTGACATTAACTTATTTTTGTACACGAGTCACTATGCCTTACTTTACATCATTTGAGCTCCTTTGCTTTTATTTTGTTAGATGGGGATCCACCATTTTAACTCGTAATTTCATTTCCCCCATTTTGTTTTTCCACATGCAAGTCAGTTTGTTATAAAACAATTGGTTCAAAAGCAATGTTTAGCTAGCCTAACAGTATTAACAGTCCACTGCCAAAGATTTCTGGTGAATTTATCTTTTTAAAGGACAGAGCACTCATAAAGTTTTCTTACTGGAATAAAGCAGCTTGTTTAGATGTAAAAGACAAGGAAAAAAACAAAACAACTTTGCATCGATGGTACCAAAAGCTCAATATTTGTCTTTCTCTTCCCACTTGTAGTGACAAATAGCCAACAGATTCTTATTGACTTTGGTGGTTTCACAGAACTTGTAACTTGAGAAACACTGTATAGTCACCTGTTCCTCAAATTGAGCTCCATGGGCCAGCAGCATCTGCATAACATGGAAGTTCGTTAGGAATGCAAAATCTCAGGCCCGCTCCAGGCCAATTGAATCAGAATCTGTATTTTAACATGATTCTCAAGTGATTTGTAAGCTCCATAAAGTTTTCGAAGTACCACCCTAGTTGACCTCCATCCCTGTCCTCCTTTTAAGAGATGAAAAATTTCAAAGTCTGAGTTAGTGTAGAGCCGTGACTGTAATCTTAGTTCCCGGACTCCAAGTTCACTGCTCTCTGCTGTACTCAGGGCTCCCTCTGGAGCTCCCTGACTTTTAGGGTGGAAGGAAGGAAGTAGCTGTTGCCCAGTTGCTCACCACAGGTCTGGCCTTGTCTTGCCTTACTTTTCCTGGTTGATGCTCAGTGGCCTAGAAAAGTAGACTTTAAGTTTAGAGAATGACTTTCTCTTCAACCCCCATTCCTCTGGTGTGGGAAGCCATTTGGCTTATCATCCTACATTGTATAAAGCCTCCTAAATAAGAGTGAATCTTTAATGAGGCCAGAACCCTTTTTATTGTCATTTATTTACATTTGTCAGCATCTATGATGATAGGAATGTTACCATCTGACATTCTTTCTCCATCTCACAGTTCATGATTGTGTAGTATATCTCCACTCATACAAGGAGGATTGAAGAGGCTGAGCCAAACCCTGTTAACAAAACGGTCCCCTGAAGGGTTGTAATATTGCTCAGTGGTAATATCATCCCTATGCATTTTATCTTGTACATGAAATCTGGGCTAATTATCATTTTCTCATACAGTACGTTTTAAGCCATTGTGTTTTTGTGTCCCTGCCTAGTTCATTAAGCAGGGTTTTACAGCTCCTCCAGTAACAGGATTGCTATTGACACTTTCATTAGACCCATAATTCAAATGCTTGTCTGCCTTCCAAATGGAAGCCTCTCAGTCCAGAACCACAATCTGGCCACCAACCGTATGTTGGCTTTTAGGACTGTCATAAACTCATCATCACATTCAAGTTCTTGAAGGGTCAAAATCTGCTTTCTTGGTGAACTGTCTTTATCTAACAGTCAACGTGTTCTCCAAGAATAGCCAAGCTTTCTCTGTAGCTCTTGGAAAAGTCTTCCAGACAGTTCTCAGTATAGAACAACTATAACACAAATAATTATTGTCTGTATTTAAATATTAATTCCCTGATTCATTTATGCATTCATTCATCCATTCATTCTGTTATTTCATCACTTAAGACCGATATACCCAATATTATGGCAGATGCTGTAATGATTTAAAGATGAGTAAGATGGTCTCTGTCTTGGAGTATTTTAAAGTTTAGTAGATGTGTGTATAAATCATTATATGATTAAATGGAATATAAAAAAAATTTACCACTAGGTTGCCAGCAATTAGAATGGCTGTAATTATAGATTGCTGTGCTCTACCTAATGGCTATTTTCTCACCCATGGTTCAAATGGAAATAGCCTCAACTGGCCTAAATAAAGCTGCATATATGTATGCAATAGATTACAGACTATCACTTAGAAACAGATGAAATGGAGTCCCCAGAAATGATTCCGATGGGCAATAGAGAAAAGTTGGGGCTGGATCAGAGACAGCCATTGCTCTAGGGATCATGAAAAATAGTCTTTGCTTTTTTAGTAGCATTTGTTTTTCTCTCTGACAAGGTTCAAGAAAAGTTTCAATGCAAATATTTGGTTAAATTTATAATAAAGCTTGTTAGGAGTGCCTACTAAACAACAATTTCTGCTTTTAACTTTTGAGGAAGTAACTACCTTGGACCTTAGTGAAGAAGCAGGAAATCTGATCAGACCTGTGCAGCTTAGTGTACAACTGAAGTTTTCAACCTTTACAAATTGCTTTTAGCTTATTTAACTGAACATACAATCATAGACCACATATTTCAATGTACAGTTAATTGTGTTTGATTTAAAACATTGCTGATTGGGTGCTTTGCTTTTGCTTTCTGGACAAATCACAGAGAAAAAAAAAATATTTTGGGATGGTTTTCACCTTCCTGGTATCTTTGCCTTTAAGAAGAAAAGAAAGCAAGGAAGAAATAGAAAAGACAAAAGTATAGCCTTGTAGTATTTTCTTCAAGTTCTTTCTTGGTTCTTATCCTTACCTGAGCACACACGTTGGATTACCTACCTCATTTGGTTTCTTCCGACCAATCTCATAGCTGGATTCCTGAAATAGAAAGGTCCTCTGCTGGAATGGATTCAGACCATGGAGCAGGAAAAAAATGCAAAGCTGGACTCTCTTGCTGATTGGGATAATATGGCTTCATTTTGCAGTAATACTGCTGTGGTGTTAGAAAATGACTTCAGCATTCTTCCCAGTGCATTTCATTCTGCTGTGTGTGCCTTCATAAACATGTCCAATTGCATGATGGAGGTCAACGACAATGTAGGGTTTAGAAAGTGTTGCTTGGAAATCACACTCACTTAAATACCTGAATCTGTCCATCAGCCATGCCATAGTTTATTCCAAGCCTGTGCAGACGAGTGATTTGCAATCTCCTGGCTTTTCATTTCAAGTAGCATCACTCACTTTAAGCCAGATATTCAGGCCTCTTCAGAAGCCTCCAGGGTGAAGGACAAGTAAGAAGAAGCTTATTGAATCTTTCAGAACCGTGGCTGGCTACATCTACTCCATCAAACTTGGTACATCTTTCTCTGGTATTTTATTTTAAAATCATACATCCTTCCTTTCATGTGACAAATAATAGAGATTTTGCCACGTAATTTCATGATCCCTTCAGCTCTTTTGTGGTTCTGTACATTTAATTGATCACTCTCCAGGTTGAAAGCTGGGCCTAATGTTTATTTTTGCAAGCTCTTCCCCTTGGCATTATCTTTTCTCATCTTCTGTAAGCTCAGGTTGCATAACTAAATTCTGTTTTTTTGTGTGTGTTTTTTTCTTCTTCTTTCACTCACAGGGACTTACCAATTTGGGCCTCTTCCAGAGCTGAAAGCCGATTACAAATATGAAACAGATTTCACTACTGGACTTGAACTCCACATAAAAAACAAGGAGATTCTCAAAATAGTTGAAAAATACTTTCACCCAAAAGTAGATGCAGTATAAATGGCAGGATATCAAGGAGGTAAGAAGTAAATTTCTAATGAAAACATGTTTGCTGTGTGGCCAGGTAATATTGAAAATATGCTTCTAGGCTAAAGTTAGCATCTTTTTCAGTTGAGGGCAGGGAAGAGCATTTTCAATTAGCAAAACTTACTGGATGATCCACACTCTTCTTTCCGTGGGTCTGTCTAGCTATTATAGAAATATTGTAGAATGCTGGATTCTTTCTAAGGACATCATGTTGGGGGATGGGGTGGGCTTTAGTAAAGGAAACAACTTCCACAATAAACACTTGTGGGGACATTTGGCCATTTTTGTGCTTCAGAAATTGTGGAACGCCATCTTGAAAACCTGTCTCCAAAATGAAAAAGGGACAAAGATACAATGAAACTCTTAAACCCTGTTTATCTGGATGTTAAGGGGGGAAAAATGAAAAAGAAAAGAGAGAAAGAAAGTGGGGCGGGCTCCCTAGAACATACAAAGATCATCTGAGGCAGACATCTGCCATGTTAGCTTTTTCTGGTATAAAAAGGGGAGGGGGGATATATACATGAACAGATGAATGGAGTGGTGTCTGTTTTTTCTCTTTTCTGGCCTATTAAATAGTTTAGTGGCTTCATCCATTCTGTCCTGATGGGAAGCATCTATGGGTTGCCAGATTTGTTGCTTGGGCTTTTGTGACACAGAATCTGCAGAATAGGGAAAAGATAGAAGGCAAAAAAGCCACGGTGACCTATTCTCACAAGGAAAGCAGTGAGCTTGGAACACAGTGTTGAAAGGCATTCAGTCCCCCAGAGAAAAAGGGCAGAAGTGGGTGGAGTGTGTTACCTGAGGTGTGAATGTGAGAGACTGTGTTTGGGTGACGATGTAGCATGAGGAGTCAAGGAGTTGGTGGGAGTGATTTTGAGATGGGTGATGGAGCTTGGAAAGGGAGCTGTGAGCTCCCAGAATGAGCTACATGAGAAGGGCAGGGGACAGAAAATAAGAGAAGATGGGAGGTGGTAACAGTAATTGCCATGGACTGTATTCTTGAACCTCCTTTGTTTCTTCAATGAATGAGTGAAGGGTGGAATCCCCTAATTTTAAATGAAGTGTAACTTTGGCTCTGAACGCATGGGTGCAGCCTTTGATAAGATTTCATCCATAAAGCAAATATTCCACTGGCGACCTTGGCAATGGGATTACTTTTAAAATAAATCATAATGTCTTCTTCATGCCCACGCCTCACTTCACACACTGGATATCCAGTTCTCTTCGTATGGTCTACTTTGAAAGCAGCAGATCTGAGAAGCAGGTGTCCTGAGGTTCAGCCCTGGGGGAAACACTAACTAGTTGCATTACCCCACATCATTCATCTAAGGTAATGATGTGCAACTAGTTATGAACACAGGACCCTGGAGTCCTACGGAGTTTGTCCAAGTTCTTTAATCTTCATTAGGCACTATCTCCTGTATCTATAATGTTGAGGCATTAGAAGCATCTCCCTCGCGGGGCTTTTTAATAAGATAATGTATGGGAAGCTGCACAGTGATGAATTAAAAAAATATTAGCCACTGTTGTTATAGTTGCTATCGTTATTCTCAGTGGTGGTGGTATTACTATCCCTGGCCCTCAGTTTCCTCATCTGTAAAATGAAAAGCTACAATAAAATTTTCTCCACTTACCTTCAAGTTCTAAAAATAATTTCTGTAATTCCTGAGTTTAGGAATACCACCCACAAGAAACAGGCAATAGTCAATGAAAGAATTCTTTTTGCCCTAAATCTCTTAGAAATATGTGGGTTCTTTTAAAATGCCACCCCCTGGAGAGGGCCCAAGATTTCATTTAACCTGTGCTTCACCAACTTCAGTTACCTTGCTCAGCACGACTGATACTCTTACTGAGTAAGAAAAAAAAGAGTTGGAGTTCTCTTTCTATTTATAAACTAAACTCCACTTGAACTATTTATGATTTACCCTCTATGTATGGAAACACTAGTTAGTAGTTCTGCCTTTTCTTAAGAACATAGATAGCCTAAAAAGTATATTTTCCTTTTTCTTTCTTTCTTCCATTCATCTTCCTCCTTCTTTTCAAGATACCACAACCTTAGCTAGTTCTTCTGTGATATGAAACAGACCATCTCTTTCAAAGACGTTTAAGCTCTTTCTTCTTCTTTTTACTTGATTTGCTTGGTAGTCTCTTGCCCACAGAAATGTAATACCGATAGAGTTGTTGTTTGGTCCTAGAATATATCAGAGTCCCTAAATACATGAAATTAAAAAAAGAAAAAAAAAAGAAATCAACATTGTTCTGAAGGGAAGGTAGTTAAAATTCAGAAAGAGAGATTCTTTAATTAACTTAATAAAATTACTAATGGAAGCATTTTAACTGCTAAATTTAATTTACTTGTCAAGATATCAGGCTACAAAGAGGAGGGGAGAGTAGGAACTCTGCTTTCCATTATGATGTACTCTATTATAGAATAAATTTGCTTAAAATGAAATATATCACCAAAAGCCATCAATGACATCTTAATTTGGAACAGCCAGTTGAAAAGTAATTAGACTATGAAGCAATCAGTTCTAGTAAATCAGTGTTTCCCTTTACATAAACATACTTTTTTTTCTTCTTTTTTTTACTATTTATATACAGGGAAGACTTTCAGGTAGAAAGAAGGCAGGCAAAGATGATTCTTTTTTGCTGTCGGTGTTTTTACTTTACATTACTAAACTGTCAAAACAAAGTGTTTTATGATGGGATTAAAAAAATGTATAAATATCTGATTTGATTTAGTGTTTATATTTATATGTTGAACTGAGGACAGTTTGCTTATCATAGGAGTTTAAAAGATTTACATTTGTCTGCTTCTTACTTTCAAAATGCTTTCCAGATCCACCAGCAGCCCTGAGACCTTACCTCAAGGAATGAGGCTCAGTCAAAAATCAAAGGAGAGCTCTGCTTCTCTCTGCAGGGACCCTGGTTCTATAAATAAAAGTGGAGAGTGTGGTTGCTAATGACCGTGGTTTGGGGTGGAGATGGGAGTGGTGAAAATTATCCTTTTGTTCAGTGTCTGACAATTTACCATTAGGAATTGCTCAGAATGTAACCGACCTTCCTAGAAGTGTGTGTGTTTGCTTATTATAATGAAAAGCTAATAAGGGGGATGGGTGAAAAAGACAATAACTCATAGTTCACCTGATTTTGAAAAGTTAACATGATTTAGTTAAGAGGTAGCAAAAATCCAACTTTCCAACTACTTTGTACTAGTATGTACAAAGTACAAGTATTATCTTTTCTGATCATCTCAGTATGCCTCTGAAGAAGACATTTTCATCTGCAATTTACAGAATTGGAAATGGAGCCCAGAGAGGTTAAGCGACATGTGGAGGTCGCAGAGGTAGTGAATGGGAGAGCTGGGGCTAGGAGGAGGGCTTCTGGGCTCCTGATACCTTTTCCAGAACATCTGCTGCTGATGTTGGAATCCCATCTGTTATATGCAGAGGGGAAGAGGTGTGAGAAAAATAACCAGAGGAGATATCAATCATTCAGCAAAATATTTATGAAAGACTTCATTCAGATATTAGGGGAGTCACCATTGTCACCAGCCCTGAAAAATCAGAAAGGATGATGAATTATGCCAAAGACAACATTAGCTCAGAAGATAGGGACCGCCTTGCAATGTCATGCTTGTGGTAGTGTGTGTTATTGTCTAGTGGGAGAGAAAGGCACGAGAAATGAAGAGAAAGGACAGTTGTAGAAAGAGCAAAAATAAGTGAGACCTTGTTATAAAGGAAGAAGTGTGGGGAAGCCTCTGAAACACAGTTCTAGGATCTGCCAGCATGCAAATCACTTAACAGTATGCAAATGACCTCACCCTAATAGAGTAAATCATTTCCATCCTCTCCCCTGCCTATTTAGAAATGTGATCATTGATAACAACACTACAAGGTACTATTCCTGGTTGAAAAACACATTGGGAGGAAATCTAATATGTATGAAGCCATGGGAGTAAGTATTAACATTCATAATTGTAGATAGGTGTGAAGTAGCCTAAGACAATATAATTAAAGTGCAAAAGCCTCTGTTGTACCGTCGCAGTGAGAGAACTGAGCAGCTGGAATTCTAGTAAAAATACAGTCTGTCATCCCCAATGGCTGTTCAAGATCTGTGTATAACAGGACAATTGCCCTGGGAGTGGAGAAGGCAGGAACTATATAAAAATAGACAGAACAACTTAAAGTTAGCCAAGAAAAGATAAGGAGCACAAAAGTGGGAAATGAGATATTGCTAGTAAAAGAGGTTAGATGAAGTAAGGAGGTCTTTTATAAATGTATCAAGGAAAAAAAAATGATCCTCAAGAGAAAAAAGACCAGTGAATAAATGAGAAGAGGAGGGCATGAAATTAATGATGGCTGAGATATTGACCTCCTGCTTTAAGTCAGTTTTTAAGAGAAAAATGAAAAGAAAATGTAGACAGATGGGAGGCAATAATGACTTTTAAAAATAGGTATCAACAAAGAGGATGAGGGGAAATTTAGAAAAAAATTAAACATTTTGGCATATACAGTTAGTAAATTTCAAATAATATGCTTCCTAGGGAATTAGATGCCATGCCTACTAACTAGGCACAGATATGGAAGAAGAACAGTACAAACTAGAAAGATGTCAGAGCTTTCTCAAAACAAATGTGTTTCATGTAACAGTAGAATGATAGTTGGGACAGGTTAGGGGAGCAAACAAAGACAGACTCTCTTAATGTTGTGTAAATTTTAGACATACTTGGTTATGCCTATGTGGCAATTGCAATTTTTAGAAAATTGGGGAAAACTTGAATTTTTTATTCAGAGAGAAAAGAAATAAACTCAGCACGCCATACAACTAACATGTATTGTGGATAGTTTAAAAATATAAGAGAGATTGTCCTTTTCCCATGGGAGAAAATTGAAAAAAATGTTGTAGTTCCTAAAACATTATATAATTATGAGAACATTGCTTAAAATATATAAATAAAATTGGAAATTTCAAAGTACAATGAAAAAAATC